ATTTTAACAAGCAGCAGGCCGAATTGTAGCTGGTTTAAACTGGTGTCACTTCAGTGGGGACAGGATGATTTACAGCAGCTGAGAAGCTGGTTTGATGAATTTAATTTGATGTAGATAATGAAGTTCACTGAGGCAGGAATCAAACTGTTTCACTATTCTTTCCAAAAGTAGGGAAGTCTGTTAGATGTTATGAAAAAAGGTCTTGTCTTGTTCTCCGTTGCACTACCGGTACATCGGTGTAAATATTGGACTTGCGGGGATTACAGAGTCTAGTTTTGATTCTGATCCAGTGAAATTCAGTGTTAAACCTCCCATTGATTTATAGGGTATAGCCATCCCTCTCCAACCATTATATCCCAGTCCTGTGGGATTATCTGCACAACCCCCTGGCCAGCAGCAGGGACTTATAGTAATGCATCTGAAAAGGGAACCAGACTAATTGTTTGTAGCATCTGGTGCATTTCTGGGATGGACAAGTGTCCAATATAGAGTATGGGGGGGTGCAAAATAAGCCAGTCTTTCAAAGAGCATTAGAAAATAGACTTTGCCACATATGATTTAAAACTATCCAGTAGGAGGATTCCTCTAATATTAAAATTTAAATAATCAAGAGCACTACTGGTATTTATCAAATGGGCTCACTGGTGTTCCTACCGGTTCATACTTGGCCAACAACAAAGGATGTACATCAGTCAGCCTTATGGTCATCTAAGCACAGCACAGGTTAGTTTGGTACTTCTTGGGCACTTTTTTACAGGTGTAAAGTTCATAGTGCAAATTCACTATTGGAGGGCTGGTGGGGGAAGAAGCTTCCAAATTTTCTTATACAGAAATGTAGGAATTGGAATTCCTCTTTCCTCTCTCCTCACAAACCACACTCTGTGTATGTGTGTGTACGCATGTACGGTTCATGACTGCATGCATACACACATGGAAGAGTCTACCCAAGTCAGAATAAAGTCTGTTACTCTCATCTGTTGAGCAAATCCTTTGTAACCAGTGCACGGGGTGGGGGCTTTTGCTCACCTGTACATGTACTGGTCACAGTATGGTGGATTATCATTGACCCCACAGATGTTTGCACTGACAGAAATGGAAGCACATCTCAGATCTTTGTCACAAGCCTTGACAGTAAAGGACTGGACATTCATAAATCCATCTTCCTCCATGTCCAGCCTAGACACAACCATCAGAGTTCCACGGTCTGTGAAATGGACACAGGTTTATGTCAAGCAAGTCGGCCCACGTTTAGAATCGAGGGTAGCAAAGTCTCTCTCATCTCCTGAACGAAAAGGATCGATACGTCTCAGTTAGACTGCCTAAGAACTGCACTTACGTTAGGCTATTTTTTGCTCTAGGATCTAATATCTATTTTGCTCTAGAATTGTATTTTGCTCTAGCATCTAAATACAGCTTTGGCTGAGGACCTGGTGGTAGAAAGCTCAGCAAAGAGAAGACTTCTGGGGAAGCCTCTGGGGGCTGTTGCCAGCACACAGCCACAGCTCGGCTTTCTTCCTACTGCTTTGTGTGTTTTCTCATTTACAATACACAGTGACTTTCAAAGGTCCCTGAGAAGATTCCCATAAGGACCTACTTCTATCCACAGCAAAGTAAGCATTTCCTGGATCGAGGTGGAAAGTGAGGTCATTCATTAAATCTTCGTCCATAGCTTGGCAAATGCCAATAGCCTTTCCAAGAGGGATTTCCTCGTCGAGTGTGATGTTCACCATCTCTCCTATGGTGGAGTTTTCTGTCCTGGGAGTCAGGGCACCATTCCTTATGCTGTAAAAGCTTTATTGAAAGAAGAAAAAATATGGGTGCATTACTGAAGAGCATGCTGCAGAAGATCATCTAAATAAAACCAGGAACAAAACCCCTGCGATCCCAATGTGGGGACTTGTGGGCTGAAGTAATTTCTCTTGCTTACTTACGTGCAAGTGAGGATGGGGTCATTATTATTTATGTTAATAAGCAACACCTTTATGTGTGCAGTTGCAGAAAGGCCGTGTGCGTCGGTCACCTTCACTGCTATTGAGTAGCTGCAAAGAAATGAAACAAAGCACTGATAACACGAAGAGAAGTGGGGAGATTTCACAAACTTTCTCAGGACGAGGTAGTTTATGCCATCATTAAGAAAATGCTTTGTTTTAAAATGTTAAAGTGATTTAAAGAGAAATAGCTTCTATTTTTAACAAGGCAAGAGAATATTAATACGCAAATGCAGGGGAATGGCTAATGGACAGGATTGATTTTTTTTTTTTTTTTTATTTTATTTTTTTTACTAAAGTGATAATCTACCTTCATTGGATGCTATCAATGAGCCACTGCTGATTTAATGAGGCTTTGCCAATATTCTTATCAGGACTGATACAGATGTGATTTGCTGTACCTGAGATGGATCTAACGGGGCTAAATGAGGCATAAAGGATTTTTCTTGATTTCCACTTAAACACTGGATGATCCCAGGGGTCATGAAGCCTGTGAACTCAAGAACCTCGCCCTTTTGGATTTTGGGAAAGAGCTCATTTTATTAGCCCAAGAAGCATGCTTAACCTCTTCAACCTGCTACTTTACCCCTTAGCCCTCTGACCTATCAAGTGTTTTTAAGCAAAAGTGTAATATATGAGCAGTAGTTTGACTTGGCTACTCCAAGTCAGGCATGTGCTTTGCTGAATGGGGGTTTTGGTGCAGGATGGTTACATCAATTTGGTCCCGGCAAAATGAAACTAATTGCAAGCTGTGGGCTTTAACAAGGGGCTATCATTTGCCTGATATCCTGGCTCTGGAGTGAAATGGGGTTTAGATTAAAAAATAAGCATTGAGTCCCTTCCTGGCAGAGTGGTGTTAAATGAGGCTGGTTCCTCATTGTCCCAGTAGCTTGGAGGTCCTGTTGTAGCAGACATTAGAAATGCAAACCAATTTGGGAGTGCCCCCCCTCAAGGGATTTTGCTTTCCCTTCCTTAAGGAGATTATGTGCCCTACAGAGGGCTTGGACCCTCTTTCCACAGCAAGGGAGAAAGATAAATCCTCCCAGCACATCATCTGTGGCAGGGAGAGCGTGCGTGCATGCACACTGTATTGTATTTAACAACTGAATTTGTCATAGAAACAAGCACAAAAGGTTGTTTCCCTTCCCTGCCACCTTCAGAAAAGCATTGCCTTTAGAGCACAAATATTCATAACATTCACAATAGTTGCAAAGGCCCGAAGTGCACTGTGTTCCTATATAGCTGGCTCCCCTATAACCAACTTCCCTTTGAGTTGCCAGCTTCAGAGACAACTACATCCCTGCTTATAAGTCTGGCAGGGTGGGTTTCCCCTCCCGTGCTCCTTAGACTGGGAAACCCTGATGTAGTATCTAGTGAAACACATGTAAGGGGGTATGCAAGAAGGGAGAGGAAAATGTGGTTTGCATCTGGTTGTCTTGCAAAGAGCAGTGGTGTCAGCATGGGGAAAAAGTTTCAGTCCACCCAAGAGTTACTCTTTGGGAAGGAAAATACTGAAATACGGGGTTTTGACAGAAAATAAAGCAAGTGCAAATGGCTTTTTTATGGATCATGGTTCTCAGGTGCTGACTAAGTGAGTGAACTCAGAAAAGATTTAGAGGTCATCTTAAAAAGATGGTTTTCCTATTAAAACCAGTTTTGGAAAAGGAGTGATTCTCAGCTATTTAATAGGCTTGCAGAATGGAAGTCTGTCATGCTGCATGATGTATTCCTTTTAAAGAACCAAAACTCTCCTACAGAGTAACTTTTATAGTGAAAGAGCTATTTTTGCAATATTAATATAGCTTGACTATTGTTCTCACTGGGTATAAACTGAGCATAAAAACCTGCAGGCCGTGGCAGGACTCCTGCCTATGTGTTTAAATCTCTTCTGCAGGCTTGGATTTTTTTTGCATCAGGGATTTTGCCTGCCAGACCTTGAGCCATTGCAGCCCAGGATAAAGCCAAGTACTGACCCTGCCCGATACCCCTACCACACGCCTCAAGCTGCGGGCTCTCCCTCTTCTGTATAATGAGATCCAGGGGGTGGAAGTGGATGAGAAAAACAATGGGGCTGATAACAACAGAACTTTTTATTAGCGAGGGCAACAAATCAAGAGCGCAGCTCGTCATGGGAAATTGAAAATTTGCCATCACTTTAAAGTCTTTAGCTCAAGAAGGGATGTTTTTCTCAAGTCGCTGCTGTCATTCAAAACTCTGTACAGGTTTGGGATGAAGGTCTGCGTCTCTGCAGGTCAGGCAGTCGGACTAGATGGAAATGTTTGCTTTTCTGTCCTTATAACTAAACTGTCTCTGCATCTGTGAGTCCCCAAATCAGGACATCAAGGTTCTTCCCATTGCTCACAGATACTAACTATTTTTAAATCCATTTTTTTCCAGTCTGTATTGGTACCTTTAATGCTTGGGACTAACTTCATTAGTGCCTCTTCTGGTGATGGCAAAGGTGTCTCTGGGCTTCCTTCCCCCTGGGCTACGTAGGCTACCTTAGGATTCAACTTAGTGGCCACCCCCCCCTCCAATGTAGCCCCTCTTGTGGGTCTTTCTACTTCCTTCTACCCCTTAAACATTTTCACTCCCTTTTTAACATTTACTAATAAAGTTAAACATTTAACCTTTGAGGCTAGGGACAGTTGCCCTGAAACGAATTTTGAGACACAGGGCAGATGAATCCTAGACCAGGAAGAAGCAACCACCCACTTCTTTGCATCAGTCGTTTTCGGAGGGCTAGAGTGGGATCCCATGTAGGCATTTAAGTGCTTGAGTGGATTTTGGAGAAGGGAACAAACGGAGCCCAATGCTTCGGGCTCAAGACCCTGACCAAGAAGACTGAAGGCTGAAAAAGGCTTTGGCCAACGCTATTGTCATTTCCACCTTTATTCTGCTTACCTTTTCTCATTTCCTTCCAGATGGAAAGAGGCTGTTGTGGAAATTGCCCCGGTCTCATCGATAGCAAATGCACTGCTCTCTGGCAAGACCTCCACGGAGTACTGTGAGAAGAGAGCAGCGTTACAAGTACTGCAGCATACCCATGTCGGCAACTCTTAACATCCAGAATTAAAAGGACCTTACAGCTGAACACGGCTTCCTATCAGCACAGTCTTTAAAGGATAAAGGTAGATTTGGTTAATAGGGTCACTGAAGCTTATACCTATGCTTTAAGCAAAACCTGTGCCCAAATCACCCCATCATATGCTTTTTACAATAATTTTAAGGAAACTAAATTCTGTGGCAAATTCTGTAGCAGCTCAGTGCTGCGAGCTGTTTTGTGTGAACTCATTGTCTTTATTCAGAGTAACATCTAATTGAACTGGGGCTGTAATGAAATGCGAGTGATTATCTTTGACTCATACAGAAGTTTCTGCCATCCTTGTTCATGCTTTGCTCATTGATGATGCCTCTTTTCAGTGCAGCTGTTCGTGGTGCCAAGTGCGATTCCTTTGGAGGGAAGGGGATTGGATTCTGGTCTATGCGGTGTAGGTAGAAATGGAACGACTCGCTTTCCTTGAGTAAGGGATGCTACAAGATGAAATGATGAATAGTAATAACTACTGTCCAGTTTAACTTAACAATAGTATAGGAGTGGATTGTTTGTCAGTACGGGAAAGGAGGAATAGCTTTATAGAGGCCGGTGAAGTCCTGGGCAACCCTCCTCCCATCCAGGGTGTTCAGTCCTGGCAGGATCAAGCCCTTCCAAGGATGCCACCTCTAGTGACCTCTATGGAGGTAGCAGAACTGGGAGTATATTTAGGGGAGGGGACCGGTGTGGTGAAATCCCTGCCTCTCTTGAAGGGGAGAATGAGCTGCTCTTGATCAGACAAGTGGCAGCTGGTTAATAAGCTAAGGAGGGCGGGGGCACTGGAGCTCATCAAGCTGTCGTTGTGCAGCCCTGGGGCTTTGCCCTGTTGGTTTTGTTGGTCCGATTTCCTCCCAATGAGCCTTTTGATTCTGCTTGACTTAGTGGGGCTGTTCCCAGGGTGTGCTGTGACCCTGGGCACCACAACCTCTTGCAGGAGATAGATGGGGGCAGCTTTTCTAATCCCAGCTCAACTGCATCCACTTTCACTAGCTGAGATTCACCTAGGAGGTAAGGTGTACTATAATCACCTCTCTGTACGAGCAGTTTTTGCTAACGTGCCGTTCAGAACAGACCCAACAGGCTCCAATTGCAACTTTAAGAAAATGCCTTGTGCTGGTCGTTACCATCTGAAGCACCAAGCATGCTAATTCAGCTACCAGGCAGGTGCAGGCCAGTGTCTGCACCTGCCAGTATAAGGGCTGTAGGTTGTAGCCAGTATAAAGCTGTACACCTGCCAGTATAAAGTACTTTATCACAACTATTCTCGCTTCCAAGTGATCAACTACTTCCAAATGAATAGGAAGAGACCTGTCCAGATATGCACAGCGTATCCCAGTGCATATTGCTTTGACTAATGTTCCACAATTCAATAAAGGCACATGCATCCCACCTAATGAGTAGAGGTGAATAAAGCGACTTGTGAAGCTTAAAGTAATGTAGGGGCAAATGGCGATGTCTTTGCTCCTGTCAAATTGTACCTTTCGAGAGGATTTGCATGGGGTGGTTTGGAGAGGGGTGGTCCTGCCCCAGGTAGGGGGCTGGACTCGATGACCTCTGGGGGTCGCTTCCAGCCCCATTTCTCTATGATTCCTATTGAACCCAAGAGATGCACGACTGATCATCAGAGTTATGTATGTGTCTAAAAGCTGCAGAAAGGCACCTAGCAGGATTTTTAAAGGGACCTAAACAGAGTTAAGCACCTGAACTGCTTAACTGTCCTCTGAGCCTGGAAGTATGAAGGATGTTGTTGAATATTGCAACCTATTGAGCAGCTGCAGTGAACATTTAGGCTGTTGCTGGCATTTAGGATGCATCCAGAGGGTGATTATACAAGACACAAAATGAAATGGCTTTGGGAGAGAGAAAATGAGGCATGCTGAGAAATTCAGAAGAGGCCTTTTCTTGTTATGGCAGACAGTGAAGGAAGGGAGAGCGCCTTCAGGCTTGGCAGGGAGAGCCGGGGTGAGACGAGCATGGCAGAAACAGGAGGAGAGTGAAGATGCACCAAGCTGGGCTTGTTGGAGGACAAGGAGCAACTTGGCTGAGGAAACCACCAGTGGCAATATCAGAGCTACGGGCTGGAGCAGAGTCATGGAAAGCCAGACGGGAGAAAGTGGGATATTGGAGCCTGATGCGTTAGGGGAAAACCTTAAAGACCTGCTAGAATTGGGGGGGCTTGCACTGCAGTGGTACCCCCTTTACGTCCCCGGAGCTCTGCATGGGAACGGGAGCATCCATGCCTAGGTGTGATAGCTCCCTCCCTCCAGTACTGAGCCACGTCGTACGGGTGGGTAACATTCGGTGCCCCGTTACCCATTCCTGGCTCTGAATTTTGGTCCCCAGGGAGGGGACAGCTTGTTTATAGCCACGGGTTTTTCAGCTTTTATCTCACACGAGCAAAATTTGGCTGGTAGCTACTGTCTGATATATTTACATCTGCCAAGCAGTTGGCATGGTTGCTAGGTAACTTTCTGGCTGGCAATCGGCCGGAGAGCTTAACAACTGACCCGGATGAGCAATCACAAGCCTAAGACTCTTGATCTTGCAGGGTTTGCAAGAAGCTCGCTCGTGCGCTGGCTTAGCCCTCTCGTTACCTGCAAGTGGAAGTGTCGCAATGCTGGCAGGTCTCGGCTCTGTGTAATTTAAGTCGTGACGCCTCTCGTCCTGCAGGCTTTTCCCAGGCCGCGCTCCCCTTCCCCCCCAGCATGTCCATAGGACCAGCCTGGTGATGTTTGCTCCAAATTTTTCAGCATAAATGTCACAGTCAGTCATTTTCCAGTGTGCGTTTTGAGAATTGAGTATTAAAGGCTGAACCTTCTCGGGCCAGATACAGGGTAGGTCTGCTTATAATCTAGGCCTTCAGTTCCTTGGAGCAGGAAGGATGAAGAGCTGTCCTGTTGCAGCA